AATACCAACATCGTGGATGACGCTAGCGAGAGACAGAAACGGATGGAAACAATGCTGTGGCCTGTACGACAAGTGAAGACAGGCCATCTAAGTATCTAAGTAGTATTCTCCACCCCACGTAATTTCTTATAATTTCCTTCAGCAATTACTTTCCAACTGATCTTATGTATTTCAAAAAATCCCTCCTAATTTATCTTTCCTACTTATTCACTTTTGCATGGAAAGCTTTTTAAGAAGAAATTATACATATGTAAATAAATAGAGAAGTTATGTTAATAGAAAAGCGTTATTAAATTCAACGCAATCATATTGCCCAATCGTTGCTTCTCAGCTTATAATACAAATAACTTTTAATACCGGACAGGATCTTGTACCATATTCAAAGTTGCAAGATTTAAAAACAACGCAGAATGAGAACATATAAATAGATATTTATCGATATCTCAAAAAACACGAATCCTATATGTAAGCACGGGGCAGTGGCACCGAGATAATATGAAAATTGACAAAATCGAAATACGAGAGAGCACATATTGATAACTGAACAAATACCCATAATGCAAAATAAGATGGCTACATGTATTGCATTCACAATGCAACAGTTCTCGACCATACAGTATACAAAACCAATAGGCATCTTGCTCAAAAGGATTGAAGAAGGTTAGCATTTATGAAGAAATGACTGTGGTAAAGATATAAACCTTAACTTTAGCAATTTAGTTTGAAAAAAAGAATTGTGGAAACTTTTCGGAAAGGGAAATCAACAGTAAGAGTATTTGGCGAGGGTTGTGTCATTAGCACTTTGCACTTTGTAAAAGGTTATCAGAAGTCGTCAGGAGCAACGATTATGGTTTAGTTTTCTAGTACTGACGCTCAGGTATTGTATATCTTATCAACGCTGGCGTGGTACGCGCAGCTGTCAGAGCCCTGGCGATTAAAGTAAGGAGGAGAGACAGCAACGAAAGTGCGCTGCATTTCGCGCTACCGCAGACCGTGGGCCAAGAGGAACTGCTTTTTTTAAATGAGTGAACTTTTTTCGTGCAGTGGTTTTATTGTCGTCAAAATACCAATTCTGAAAAGGCCAGAAATCTCCTGAAAACTGAATTCAACTGATGTGGCCTTGACCAATCGGATATTAGTGTTTTTTTAAAGGTGATGCACATTGTGCGGGCACACTATACACAAGAAAGCCTTAATAAAAGTCAATCAGTCATACAAAGTAGATACATTAACTGATTTCTCTAAACCAGAAAGAGCATTTTACCCTGACATTCTTACACTATCATATGTTTGTATACTTGATGTTATTTTAAAGATGTCCCAAAAATGATAGAGAATGAAACTGTGCTCAGTCAATTTTTCCTGGCGTTTTTGATGTGCCAATAATCACAGGGACAACGATATCGAAATGTTCGAGATCCAATTTGAAAAAGTAGCTGATCGTCACAAGTCGATCAGCATGGATTGAAGTTGGAGGCAGATCGGAAGGCACGGAAAATTCTATTTCTTTTGTTTCTGGACCAGAACCGGGTCGTGCCTTACATGTCCCCTAGATAGAACATCTATTAACTCATTTCTAAATCAGTTGTGAGATTAGAAAAAGAAAAATGCGAGCAGCTTACATGAGATTCGACAGCTATAGTGACACTTTTCCGATCCATCAGATGCGTTTCATACCGGTTTGTGGACACAAAATCGAGTTGTTGACAAAGTGATATCAATACACATTCATGTCGACCCTGAACAAATCAAATTTGAGCAATTTACTCATATAAACGTCTAGCTTGCCTTCTTCCGTTGCCATCGTTTCTTTCGCGTACGATCCTCAACGGTAAGAGTGATTCTAGTCGTTTCACCTGAAAATTCAAGATGTAGGAAAGAAAATAACAACGCAAATCGTATTTAAGTCATTAACATATTGCAAGGTTTGAGCCCAAATTTTAGATCCTTATTTGCGTGCAACTGCACAAAAAACATAAAAGCTAGGAAGTTCATATATGTGACCACAGAGCGCAGCTGATGCTCAATTCGCATAGGAGAAATCGTGTATTGAGGTTATTTTTTTTTGTTTTATTACGTGGTATACGATCACACCATGTGCAAGCTTTGCAGAATTTGTTCCAATGAGTCATTACAGCAAAAACTCGTAGAAGTAGCTGCTGCATAACTATTCATAACTTCTTCGTCAAAATCATTCACAACATGAAAATGATCTTTCTAAGCAGTGCGATTACATAAAGATGATGCTTACCCGGTAGAAGCCCAACTTCTTGCACTTTCATGGATGCAACGATAGTTCCACGTTTCCTACCACAACAGCCAGTAACCTCAAATTTGGTAGATGTGAATAAGAAAATAAGTTTGTGGACTAGAAAATAATGAAAAGAAGTAGAACTCATGAGTTTTTCGAAGGTTGCAAGAAAACACTTGAAGTTAAATGCATATTTCCTTCTTTCTCAGAAATTTTATTCAAAGAAAATATCTAGAGAAGTCTGAGAACTGCGCAATCTATATATACTTGTTGAGTTAATAAGAAAGCAATTTTCATCATAAGATTCAAACTCACTAGAGTTTCTTCTGATGATGCTGCTGCGTCTCGCATATATGGTGCATCCAAATTTAGGTAAGGATAGACTTTGAAAGTTTTCTCTACAAAATATGAATTACTACAAACTACAGAGCAAATCGGTATATAAACATTACCCGCCACCAT